AGAGAGGAACAGGGAAGAGGACAAAATAAAGGAGGCTGATGGGGGGGGGGTCCTTCTGTATGCTGTGAATATGCTTCTCTTATTAGTTGATGAATAAATGCTGATTGGCCATTAGCCAGGCAGGAAGTATAGGCAGGGCTGCCAAACTAGGAGACTGCTGGGAAGAGGAAGGCAGAGAGGAGCCGTCAGAGAGACGCCATGTAGCTACCCAGAGGATAGGGTGCCAGGCTTTCTCCGGTAGGGTAAGGCCATGTAGACATACATAGATTAATAGTTATGGGTTAATAATTAAGAGAGAGCTAACCAATGAGAAGCCTAAGCCATCTGCCAAACAGTTTATAGTTAATATAAGCCTCTGTGTGTTTATTTGGGGCTAAACGGCTGTGGGACCAGGTAAGACAGAAACTCCATCTACAATATTTCCTACCATTTGTTGCTTTTCGCTTCCTGATTTTGTTTTACTTTCTGTCCGTTTTTTCTCTTCAGTATTCTCCTCACCCTCTCCCTTTTGTCATTTCTCCGCATCCTCTTGTCGCTTTCCTCAATCTTACTCCTTCTGTGAAGTGAGGGATCCTCATTCTACCTCGTAATTCTGATTTTATACCCAGATTTGTTAAAATTCATGTATGTGACTATTCTCTTGCCTGGCACATATCTTCAATAGAAATATAAACAAATTATAACTTTTTTTTTCAAATTTAAGCTATAGTTTTCTGAGTTTATTTATTTTTTTTTAGTATATTCTTCTAAGAGGTATGAATGATGTTTATAAAGTTAAATAGGCTACAAGAAAGAAAGGAATAAAATATCTTAATGAATACCTCCTATGCCTAGATCCCATGCTAGGCTCTTTTCTTTGGTTTCCAGCCCATATCTTATTTCATAACAAGTAAAGATGGTTAAGTTAAGTGACTTTTCATTGTTGGAAAGATTGTGTATTTCTGACATGTGAAAAAATTCTCTTATTCTTAGGATATAACTGTTAGGGTCAGGAATGTGCAACACAGCAGAGTCAGAACTTGATTGACCACAGATAGTTTATTAAGAAAGTACTCACGAGATGGAGCCAGTCCTGTTCAGCCAGGCGGGAGAGGGAAAAGGAATGCCGCATGCCTGCATCCCTGATATATAGAGCCTTGCTATGTCACCCTGACAACACCCAAATGGTGTCAGAATTTCCTCTACAATTCCCCTTTTAGTCTAAAGAGAATCAAAACAGTGTAAATTATCTATAATTAACAATCATAAAGGTGAATTACAAGAAGATATAATAATCTACTAAATCACATCTTAACTATGTCTGTTCCAACTAAACCTTAAAGTCATCTGAGAGAAATGTCCAAGCTTGGACATCTCTTTCCAAACCCAACCTTAAACAATAGGAAACTAGCCCTAACTAGGTGTCAACAGTAGGGAAAGGGGGCGTAGTATTCTCCAAGCTACTTCCTGCTGAACTGGGATGACCACAGCCTCGTGGGGTCCTGTGGGGAGAAAAATGTTAGTGTAGTGAAAGTCCTGAATGGGTTATATCCAGTCAGTGTCTGATGGAAGACGCTTGATTGAAGGTCCAGGTTGAAGTCCTTATCTTGATTGAAGTCCTATGTTGATTGAAGTCAGTACCCGAAGTTCTGGCCAGAGTATCAGTTGAAAGGAAGCAAGTTGGATCCAGTGTACTCGAGGAGGTATGGGCCATTTTCTTTCTGGAGCATCTAGGGATTGCTGTCAGGCAGTTCTTCAGTGGCTGTGTGGGACTCAAATATAAATGTTAGCAGAGAAAATCTTACTTGTATGTGTATGCATACCGGGAAAGGCAACAATGGGAAAATAACAGTTATGATGGAATATATACCTTGAGAGAAAGAAAGAGCCAAGAAAAGACAGTTTAAACCTGGTATGAGTAAGTGGCTTAAACAAAGGCATCCTATTTTGATCAATGTACTGTGTCATTGGCCACATAATTAGTGAGTTGTGACTGGAAGAAGTGTTAGCAACATTTGCTAATAAACTGACATACACAGTCACACTCATCTGTAAGCCAAGAGTAACTAAGAAACCTCGATGTGGGTTTAAAATAGAGGTTTCCTAGTTGTAGAATATGCAACATAAAGTTTGGGATTGTTAATGTGTGAGTTTGAATGTATAATTACTGAAGAGTGTATTAACTAATTATTGTTATATTTTGTTAGTCTATTCTAGAACTTACAATATTGTAGGCCTGACTACTATTTAAACCCTAGACAGAAAATCCACCCATGTCTGGTATGGGCTTTTCTTGGTCCATGAAAAGTTTAAGCCTTTAAGTTGCAATAACTTACTCTACAGCAATAGAAAACTGAGTTCACAAGTTAATATTGTGTTTAACTTTAAGCACTGTGTTTCCCATTATTTTCGGTTGTTAACTGCATGGTTGGCGTTTGCCTCCCTCAGAACTGAGTCAGCATGGAGCCTAGGTTTATAGTCCCCTCTTACATTTGCTTATTCCAGGCTCCTGAGAATTAGCACTTGGAAGGTATATTTTAATAAGTAGATCCCAGAGGGAAAAATATGCTCTAGAGAAGACTCCTTGGTCTTGAGTTCATATATCTACTTTTCCTTGACTCTTCAACACTGTGGGGAACTAATAAATCATCTTTACTGTGAAAAACTAAGACCTAAAACACTGTGTGAATTAACTCACCTAAAGTCATCTCTCAGGATTGTGGAGGACAAATTCAACCCAGCATTTATGACTGACGTTCCTGCCTTTTGAAATGTCCCCACAACAGCTAGAAAAGCTTCTGCCTGGATTTCCCTGAAACCCGGGGACAAACAAACGCCCTAGCTTCAGAACTGAATTGTGTTGCTCCCGTGGAAGCGGCCTTGTCCACTGCATTCAGTCATTTCCTTGGAAGGGCAGAGTGACAGTTCAGCTGGGAAAGCAGACGTCCTCTGACAGCTAAAGTAACTGATTCCTTTAGCCAGGATGAGCCGTGGCAGAGCTTTCTAAATGAGAAGTAAATACAGTCACCTTTGAACAAAGCCATGTCTGAGAAGTGACCCTAAGTCAGTTGTAAGAAAAATGGCAGTGGGAAGTCTGAACCCATGTAGCTAATGGGTGAAGGAAACAAACAGTGTCCTGTAGGTTGACACTAGACTGATGGCCACAGACATAGACATGTTGAACATTGTAAATTTCTTAAGCAACTATGTATTTATTTGTTTGGTTTTTATGAGAGGACTACACATACAGTCAGCATGAATTTGTTGAATTGATTTAAACTGGAGTATAGCGGCTTCATAAGAATTTTCCCATTTTTTCCTAAGCACCCTCTACAGTTTTGAGTTTGCAATTTCCTCTCTGTTTTGAAGGTGTTACAGCCAAGCTATGGTTTGTTTGAAATAAGGCTCCTTTTCTGTGTTCTTCTGAGATCAAAAGCTGTTTCATCTGATAAAACTTGACAGTCGGCTGAACTTGCTTCCTGCTAGACTCAAAGTCTACAAAATAAACTCACTGGTTGTTATATTGTTGGGAAATAAGTTTTCTGAGTAAGAAAACAAAATAATTGAGAGTGGAATTTCTCAAGAACTTCTCTGCTGCCCTCTTCTGTAGCACAGCTCATGTTTGAGATGGCTCAATCTTTCTTAGAGCAGTGTGTCCCTTGAACATCCCTGTCATCTTCTATGGAGATACTAGAATACCAAAAGTGTCTCCAGCCAGTATCTCCTAGAAGTTAAAACTGCCTTGGTTGAGAGTTACCCAACACAGCCAGCTTTTCATTGGTACGTGCACATAGCTTCAAACTCAAGGTGTTTTATGAAGACCTTACAGTTCCTTTGATTTTGTGTACCATGCCCTCCTGAAGCCTTGTGCTCAAGAGTTTATACTCTAGATGCTGTAATTCCTTCTCCTGACAGTGTCCTAGGTCCTTCTGCCTGTTTATATTCTCCAGGTTTTCTCTGTCCACATCCTCTTTAGAATGGAGAACCACCACCAGTGAACACTGTGACCCAGCCTGTGTTAGCCTTAGCCACCAGCTGCAGTCTCTCTGAAGTGCTTCAGGTTTGAGAGCAGGCACGCTCAGGGCTGCGAATATCACCACCTTCTTTCATAAGTATCTATCTATACAGCTTCCTTTTGGACTTGGGGATTAAGAAGCAACAGTCTAGACCTCAGAATAGGTACTTGAAATACTTGGTGATTTACAGCTAGGGAAAAAGCATGGTGGGTTGGTGCAGGAAGAAGCAACATTTGATTGACACCCGAACTGTAAAAGGGGAAGGTTGCTCTTTATATTTCCTTCACAGACTGGGATTCTCTTAGCCCTGCAGACTTCCAAAAAGAGCAGCAGCGCTGATCAAACAGGGGCAGGGTCATATCATCGAGGCCCACAGTTAAGCCGCTGTGTCTCTTTGTCCATCCCTAGAGCCAAGAACCTCCTGGGCATCCCAAAGCTTTCCCTGGGCTTGGTTGGGAGTCCAATGTTGGAATGGAAGAAACTCAATTTTTGTGGCTGAAGATGGGCTTCTTATGAAAAAGGAGGCTAAATCTGAGATTTTGGTATTTCCTTAGTGATACCAAGAATGATAGATAGCTTTTTGCAGAATTGTAGAAAGTAACATCAAACAGCACTTAGATCCTTGTCTTTTGGGTGTTCTTAAGGGATGAGCTTTTTATTTGCTTTCTTACCAGTTTTTAGAATCCTCCCTAGCATTTTTATTTAGTGTGAAGGGGAAGGGGGAAATAAATCATGACTTTCTTTAGGAACCCAAACTTTCCGAAGCTACCCAGGGCTTCTCACGTTGTCTCACATGGTTGGAAATCATCAGAGTAGGATCCAATCCCAGATGTGTGATTCTGGAGGCTGTTTCTGGCTTCCACGGGGTCCCACCTCCAGGGCTAATGCTTGTGAAGACGGCTGCATGCCTGTATCCGTTCCATTGCTGCATGCATGTCCTGTAAAATTGCAGCTGTCTGTCAGTGGTTGAGATGTGTGAAGGAAGAGACTTTGTATTTGAGGTCTGCTGTTTTGTCTTGCTTTTCTGCCCGCACCTGCAGTATCTAAGTATCCCAGACAAAGTCGTAAATCTATGCAAACAGAGATTTGTAACTCGAATAATATAAGCCCATGATTGATACTGGGTTCAAGCTTCAAGCTGAAGATCAGAAAAGCAAAACAACTGGCCATGAGCTCTTACCTCTACCTCAGACTGAAAGGGCTGTCCTGTCCTCAGTGTGGCTGGAGACTAATTCTCATTCTCTCTCTCTCTCTCTCTCTCTCTCTCCCTGTCCAGCCCCCACCCACTTTCTTAACCTCTCAGCACCTAACACAGTACCAGGTGTTTAATAGATGGTAGACTAGACACAGGAGACCCTAATGTGATTGTGTGTCTTCTCTAAAGATTGAGGCTTCACTGTCATTCATACAGCCACACTAATCTACTGTGTGATAGTCACTTCATGGGCACTTAGATTAAGACTTGTCATTTTGCAAATATTTTAAATGAATTTACTTGATTTCCTGGTTTAACATCATTTTCTCTGAACCCTTTTGGGGTGCATAAATGACTTTGTCTTGCATACCTTATTTTGTAAAATGTAAAGCTGCATTTTGGACCATGAGGAAATTTGCTTTTGGAAACATGTTTAGAGTTTTAAGCTTCCAAGGGAATTTGATTGCCTACTGACCCTTTGAAAATAAAAGAATGTAGGAAGATTTGAGATGTTGGCAGCCAGAGGGCACTGAAATCACTTTCTTAAGCAGTGGAATATCAGAGTAAACATCTGATACCGTCTGTGTATGTAGCTGTGTGTCAACGTGTGTGTGTGTGTGTGTGTGTGTGTGTGTGTGTGTGTGTACATGGGAGAGGGCATGTACATATATGTTACATGATGTGGCTGCCAAAGGTCAGCCTCTGATATCGTTCCTCCACAGGTGCCATCTACTGTTTTTTTGAGACAGTTTCTCATGGACCTCAGGCTCTTGCTTTTTTGGCTTGGTGATCAGAGACTCAGGGTCCCCCTGTTTCTGATTCTCAGCACTGCGGTTACAAGCCCTACATCCAGCTTTTGACAAGAGTCCTGGGACTCAAACTCAGGTCCTCATGCTTACATAGCAAGTGCTGTGGGACTGAACTGTTGCCCTAGCCCAGCTTCATATTATTTAATTATCCTAAACTCACCTTTAAGCATCTCGAGAAACCTGTTTTGTCTCTTTCTCGAATTAACAATTATTTCATTGTCATTTGTTGTCTTCTTAAGACAATTATTATGATAGTTTTTAGGCATAGAAGTATGGGGCTGGTCTGAAGTGACCTTTTCTTGAGGACACTTACAGCCTCTTCTACACTGTGAGTATTTCTGGGGTAAAATCCTGACTGCAGTCTAGGACAAAGGGATTGTAGCTGCCTCATCCTTCCTGGTGGTAGTGGTTGTTTATTTTTAAGCTGTATTTTATTTATTTTTTTGGTGTGTGTGTGTGTGTGTGTGTGTGTGTGTGTGTGTGTGTGTGCACGTAAGTATGTGCTCATGCATATGTGCTCGTACCATGGAACAGATATTCAGGTCCGGGGCCACCTTCTGTCTCCCCGTTCTGTGGCCTGTGGCCCACAGTTGCATTGGGCAGAAAGCCCAGGCAATTTGCAGGACCCTCCTCTTTGAGTAATTTCCCTTAGAGTCTTGGTCCTACAACTGTCTGTTTTAATGTCTGGTTTTCTGGAAGGATATAAGGCTTTGTTTGTTTTGGCTATTCAACCAGTAGTCCTTTCATGGGTGGAAGTAGAAGTTTTAAGCTACTTATTCCTGGGAAAGAGACTGCAAGGCAGGCTTTCTGACCATTTCCACACAGTTTATAGTTACTAGAATTGTTGCATTTCTGTTGTGTGAGTGTGGTTTTATGGTTAAACCCTCCCAAGCCTTGCAAATGACAGCATCTTTTCTCTGTGAAGGTTTGTTCCCGTGGAGATGTGATCCATGTGAAGGTCCTTGGGATTCTGGCACTTATTGATGAGGGTGCCACAGATTGGAAAGTAATTGCTATCAATGTCAATGATCCTGAGGCTGAAAAATTTCATGGTAAGTCTGGATCTTTCCAGAAAACAGAAGTTAAATCAGTGAATCATTGGAATTCCTAGAACTGAAAAGGGAAACAACGCAAAACACACTTTGTGCATGTAGGTGTTGAGCAGCATTTTAAAACTCTTTTACTATAGACCACAGAGGTTAATCTGAAATGTTTTTGTATAAGCTATGTCATATTGCTAGGAGGAGAAAGGAAAAAGAAAAAAAATGAGACAGACAAATGATATTTTGTATGGGATACAAATAAATTTGTTGTATCCATTTCTGCTTACTGCTCCCCCCCCCAACTTCCTTTCCTTCCATCTTGTCCCCCATTTCCTCCTGCTAGGTTCTTTTTATCCATGTGTTCTTAGTTCTTTGAGTAGCTGCTTTTGTTCTGTAAGCAATGTGTTTATATGGCTAGTTCTTAATTTGTGTACTTTCTTTATTGACCTGACCTGGCACTTAAAAAGACAGGGACTTAAAAATTTCCTGATTCTACTCTGTTTCTTTTTTTAATATTTTATGTTTCTTCCTCAATTATCTTATCACGTCTCAAGCTGTGTTTATGTTGGAGGAACTCTTTCCCTGGCAGATGTGAACAGGCATCTGCTCCCTTCTTCCAGGGCAACAACAAACCCTAGTCCTTTCCGCCAAAGTCCACCTGGGGGAGCCAGTGAGTTTATCAGGCATCTGCTCCCTTCTTCCAGGGTAACAACAAACCCGAGTCCTTTCCACCAAAGTCCACCTGGGGGAGCCAGTGAGTTTATGGAGCTTCATTCAGAGCATGGGTAAGGGTTGTTTACAGGCGCATAGGTGACATCAAAGCAGCAGGAAGCCATCCCTGGGTGGATGATGACTTCCATATAGATGGAATGCCCTTCAGGTAACCTTCCACAGTCTGTATGCTCTAGTCCCTCCTGAGACCACAAGGGTAACAAGGGTGTGTGCGGTTAAGGCAGAATTTTATACACAGAAGCTGGGAGTGTCAGGGGAGGGTGACAGATCTGTTGATGGTCTGATTACCGTCTCTGCTGTCTTCCTTCAATGAGAGAGCATCACCAGGTCCTGGTGCTGAGGATCCCCCCACAAGCACTCACAACTGCTCTGATGAAGGTGGCCGTTGTTATGCTTAGATGCCAGCACTATATAAGATTTGTCACTTCACTGACTTCAAGCAATGACTCCAGACTGCCCCGCGTAGAATTTAGGGGTTTGAACTTTATCTTTCTCATCCATCCCCTACATCCTAGTTCCTCACAGCCTTACTATTGGTCTGTAGATGTATAGTGTGTGCCTGGCTTGTTTCTGGAAGCTTTGTGATAGCAGAAAAAAAAAAATGCAGTCTTTGTATTCTTCAGATGTTACTTGTTCATGTTTGTCTCTTGGTTAAATCTTAAAATTTAAAATTAAGTGGAATTCATAATGTCACTGTGTAACATTAAGTGATCAGCTCATTGATTAGATCTATTAAGTGATCAATTCTGCTTGAGCCTACTGCACGGCCACCATAGGCATCTAGTGTCCTCCTAGGCTATGTCTTAGGCTGTAGTCTTCAAATTTATTTTTTATTTTCATTGTTAGCTATCATGTATTTTCCAAGGTATTCTACAGGAACTTGTGTATGACATTGCTTCTCCCGTGTCTGAAATGCTTTTCTTTTTAACGTGTCTTTAAAACATGTAGTGCAGTGACTTGAAATATAAATTACCACATAGAGTTGAAATTTCTATCACAAAGAAGGAAGTGGTTTTCGTGGCAATTTAAATATTGTCATCGGTATTTTTGGCATTTTGCTTTTCTTTGTCCTTTTTATTCTTAGAGAATGTCTTTCATGTGTACGGGATCAGATCCCCTCTCTACCTCTTACTCCCCCTCCAGCCCTCACTAGATTTCCTTTAACATGTCCCCCTCCCAAATTCATGTCCTCTTACTGTTTTTTTCTTCTTTTTTTTATAAATAATAGCTTCTGGGGTCTAATTAGTCCTCACATGTGTGGGTAGGTACAGGGCCGTCAACGGGAGCATGGGCAATGACTCCCTCAAGGAAGAGGGAATGATTCTCCTTCCCCTGGCAGCCCATCACTGCCAGGAGCTCCTCGGCGAGAGGTGGAGCCTCAGGCGCTCCTTCCCGTGTTTGGCTGGCTTAACCCTGCGGGTCATGTGTGTCGTGCTCAGAAGAGAGAACTGTACCGCACTCCTCACTCCTTCAGCTGTTCTTCTCTCTACTGCCACTTCCTAGATGCTTCCTGAGACCTGATGCAGGGTGGAGGAGGGTGGTCACTGATAAAGATGTTCCTTTTAGGACTGGGACACGCCCAGTCACTAATTCTCAGCACCCAGACCAATTATGAGCCTCCGAATCGACTGCTGCCTCATGTAGAATGATGCTTTTCTGACCGAGGTTGAGAGCAGCCCATGTCTTTGTATAAGGACACAAATATTTAGAAGGCGGTTTGACAGCATGACCATTTAGCTAAAGAACAACAGCAGGTTCCTCTGCGCCTGTCACCTGTCAAGCCACAGGCTTCTGACCAGGTTTACATGTACCAGGCATGAAATGTCTTCCTGTGGCACAGGTTTCAAATCTAATGAGAAAGCAGCTGGCTATCACGTAGCAGTCATGCCATGGTACAATGTTGCAATGGTGGTCACATCTTGCCTAGCATGTTAGTATTGAGTGTGCAGGGTCTGGGGCAATATAAGATCATTGACGCTTTTTCTCCCCCAGCAGCCTGCACAGCACATTCTGACACTGTGAAAGCCAGCCAGCAGGGAGAGAGTTTCCCTGTTGCTTTGATATTTGTTGTTGTCCTATAGCCAAAGTTTGTGGTATCTTCAGCAATAGGGTCTTACCGTATAGTTATGGTGGGTAACCAAGGGCCCTGGCAGTAACCTGTATTGTTTTGAAGAACTCATGGGGGGTGGTAATGACTTGCACTGAGATTTTCATTTGATAACCCACGTCTTCTGGAATGGCATTGTTCACCCATTCAGGACACCACATTCAAACTTCATTTCAAATTAGATTTTAAAATGAGCTTACTAACCAGCGGGTTTCCCTAAGGCTTTTTCATAGATCCTTAGTTTTAGTTAGCACACTTATTACTCCCTTCCTCCCCCTCACACTGCCTCCATCCCCACTTGATCCTTTAACTCCTAGTGTGCCCCTTCTTCTTTCCTACCCCATGTGTTCCACCCTCCCTCCAGCTACAGTTTTTGAGTGGAGAGATGGTGGTTTCCACGCTTCTTTAAGCTAATCCTTCCCCCATTTTTCCTGTTCTAGTCCTTCCCTTCTTAAGTCTCTCTGCTCTCAGTGTGCTACATTCATTGTGTATATGTACCACATTTTCCTTACCCATTCATCTAATGATGGGCATCTAGGTTAATTCTGCTCCCTAGAAGTTGTACATTGTGCAGATGCTATGCAGTAGGATATAGAGTCCATTGGGTATATACCCAAGAGCATTACAGCTGGGTCATACTACAGTTCTGTTGCTGGTTTTGGTTTTTTGTTTGTTTTTTTGTTTTTTGTTTTATTTTGTTGTTGTTGTTTTTTGAGAAACCTCTAGACTGATTTCCACAATGGTGCATTAGTTTATACTCTCACCAGCAGCCTACAGGAGCTGCCCCTTTGCTGGGTCCATACCAGCATCTGTTTACCATTTGAGTTCCTGATGCTGTTTGACTGGGTTGAGATCAACTTTTGAAGTATTTTTAATTTCCATGTCTGTGCTGGCTAAGGATGTTGAACACATTTTAAAAAGTGTTTCCTAGGCATGTGTATTTCTTTTGAGAATTTTCTGTTCATATAAACAGCCCCCTTTTAATTGGATAGTTGGATTCTTTTAGTTATTTGCATATTCTAGACACTAATCTTGTGTCCAGTGTATACCTGTCAAAGATTTTCTCCCCTCCGGTGGGATGCCTCTCCTCTCCACTGATGGTTCCCTTTGCTGTAGAGAAGCTTTTCTGTTTCATGAGCTCTCACTTGTTGGTGGGCAGTATTATCTCCTGTGCTAATAGAGTTCTCACCTGTGCCCCGAAGTTAATGTATATTTTCCTCACATGGTTTCAGAGTCTCATATCTTACTGCACTAGTTTCTTTTGTTTTGCTAAAACACCACACAGGGAAGGAACTTCCAGAATGGTTTGTTTTGGGCCTAAGGTCCCTAAGGTTCCAGGTTGACGAGAGCCCATCATGATGAGGAGATGGAGAGGCCTGGCAGCCAGCAGCCAGCATGGTGGCAGGAGGAGGAAGCTGAGAGCTTAGCTTCCTCTTCAGATGCAAGCATGAAAGAGAGAACTGGAAATAGCAAGGGGCTTTTCATCTCAAAGCCCACCCCATGACACACTTGCTCCAGCAAGGCTACGCCTCCTAAACCTCCCCAAACAGTGCCACCAACTGGGGACCAAGTGTTCACATGCCTGAGATTATGGAGCCATTTTTCATTCAAGTCACTACACTTGCCTTTGATCCATTTGTAGCTGAGCGAGAGATAAGGATCTGGTTTCATCTTTCATCGTGTTGAAATTCCATTTTCCCAGCACCATTTGTTAAGATATTGTCTTTTCTCTCATGTATATTTTTGACATCTAATTGGGGACATAGTCTGGGTTCTCAGTAAATCTGTGTATCTGTTTTTGTTCCATTACCATGCTGTTTTTTTACTACTGTAGCTCTGAGCTATAGCTTGAAATCAGGTTTGGTGAGACCTTCTGTAGAATCATTTGTGTTCAGAGTTGCTTGACTATCCTTGGTTTTTTTTTTGTGACTTCTGGGAATTTTCATAGACAAAAATAAGAGGAAAGATCTTTTAAAAATTTGGGAAGGGCACTCATCTGGAAGCTTTTAAAGTATCCTTCCATCTTCTCTACCTATCAAGGCAGAGAGCTGATGTAGATGCAGTCACTGCTGCTGTTCGGGTGAGATGTAACTTAAAGGAACACAATCACAGAACTGGCTATGAGGCTGTGGTCAGCTACAGTTTCAGTGGGATACCCCAAACTTGGAATCCTTGGCCCATCCTGTGCTATGCTCACCCGTTTGTCTAATGATAGGTCAGTGGTAGTTGTCATGTATCTTTTGT